CTCGGCGCCAAATGATAGGTCTTGGGGTCCCATTGAACGGTTTTGGAATCGGTGGACCGGTTCCGGAGATATGGCCGGAATAAGATCCGGTGAATATGGGCCTTCACGCTGGATTTAACGGAAAACGTATTAAAACCATCATGCGACACATCAAATTACTACAGAATTCAAAAATAAGATCAATGCAAGTCGTGTTAAGTGTTCCAGACCACATTGGACACACTTGGACATGTTCCGGGTACTCCGGGAAGTTGCTTGAATATGAATTGATAAGGTGATTGGTAGCCTCACCAAATAGACTACACCCGGATATATTCCGGGTACCCCCAGGCAGTGGCGTAGCGTCACTGGATGACACGGGGGTGGGGGGCTTGGTCACTGATAATGACAATAAAATAAATAAACTTGAATAAGTACGAAGGGTCTGTTCACACCATAGGTGGATAAATTCGGGTTTTTTTTCCTTTGGTTTGTTTTTTCCTTCGATCTTGTTTTCCGTGCTGAGCACCAATGCTACCGACGTGCCAGGAAGGCAGCTCCCACACCTGGACCCTACACCTATCGACCCATCAACTCATGAACCGGGGACCAACGGCTTTACTTCCCATCCGAAGGAAGGCGTGATCAGAGATGTTATGCCTCAGAACATCCCGGCGGCGCCGACTGGGATTGAACCCAGGCCTGCTGGGGTGAGAGGTAATTACGCTTACCACTACACCACCGGCGCCGTTATTTGCAAACTTAGCAGTGTGGTTTTTAATAAGAAACTGGTTGAAATTGGAAAGAAAATCGCAGGCAAGAGGAAGTTTCGTGATTTGGCGAAGGATTTCGTTGTGCAAAATTACGTGGGTGTGTGGTGATGAAAGTTGTAAATATTTCCAGAAGAATTTTGATGCGGGAAATTTTGTGCGTAATTTTCGCAGTACACATTTCGCGTAGGCCAAGGAAAGAGTTTTTTTTAAGGAGGGTGAGGAAGTGGAAGCAAAATCGAAGAAAATGAAAAAAAAAACGTCCGTGGCTATTAATGAACAAATCATTGTCGATTCGTGCGTGAAGCTTGTGGCTGTGAGGAATATGCCTTTGTCTTCGATTGACTGGCCCAAAATGCGTGCGATTCTTGACGCGCTAGCTAGTGCGTTAGGTACCAGTTTTTCATCGGGGAAAACCAAGAAATACATTAACATCGATGCTGATAGAATTCAGAGATGAGAGGAAAGTTAATTTCACTGAAGATCGACTCTGCATCGCGACATGCTCGTCATATTTTGGGGATTAACGTGCAATTTGAGAATGAAGACCAAATCGTCATAAGAACCCTTGGTAAGAAATATATTTTTGTTCAACCGTAGTCCCTCAACAAATTGGATGGTGTTGTGCTAGTGGTCACCACTATTTCATCGCTGTTTTTCCTGTCTCCGCTGTTTTCCAATTGATTGAAGGAAAGCGCAGAAAAAGCGGTGAGCAGATAGTATCACTCTTAATTATAAATATAAGGTGCGGTTCCATTGCAGCATACCTCACTTCAGCTTTTTTAATTAAACTTGTGATGCGTATAACAGAAATTTTTCCAATATTCCGAAGTAGTGCTTCACCCTACAACCTTGTTTCTAAGATCATTCGTTCTCAAGCTATGTACTCTTATAGCATGTGATGTTCTGAAAACCTCGAAAAGTTGAACTGAAATTCGCTGAGATAAACTCTATTTTTTCCTTCCATCTAATATAAACTCTACCCAAGGGCAACATTTTATTAAATTTTGATACTCTGATACCCTTTAGCCCACTCGCAAAGGAAATAAACGTAACATTTCACTAACCACCCTTTATTAGCACAAACCTGTAAGATAATAAAGAAATGACCCCAGTTCGAATTCTTTACCGTTTTTTCCCTCAAATTCGATACATTTTTTACGCTAGAGATTGCTGGTTTGCCTAAACAACAGACAGAAAATGTTCATAAATTATATTTAGCAAATCCACGACTAACCATACAAGGGTGTTTAAAAATATAGATTTTGCTCTACCCTGCTCAATTGATTACAATTTTTGAGTATTCTCCAGAAATTTGAACCCATTTGGTTGCGATCTCATACTGCTCTTTAATTTTTATAAGGAAATTATTACGAGAAAATTTGAGAAAGTTCTATCAAAAAGTAGTCTCCAAATTTTACATAAGAAAAGATAGTAGGCATACCCGTATATCATTTTGGAAAAAGGCTAAAACGAAGAAAATAAATCAAAATCTTTTTTTTTTCCTTGTAATTGCCATATAAACCTCGAAGAGCTATTGTAGTATGAAATTACAAACCAGTCAGGTCAAACTCAAACGCAAAAGAATAATCTGGACGGACCTGCTTTGGTGGAGGTGGAGCAAAATCTGCAAAATCATTGCAGGGGTTTCTTTCCAAACACTTCTATGGCCACTAGAGGCCCTACGGGCACCAACTCCGGGACAATCCATCGGATGATCACAAAATTATGATAAACAGTCTCCTGCTGTAAATTCATGAATTTTGATACCCATATTGTAGCGGTTTCTTCCCAAACACTTCTATGGCCACTAGAGGCCCTACGGGAACCTGCGCCGGAATGGCCGTTCCGGGGAGAAACCTTAAACTGGTCCTCAAGTAAGCTGAAATTGTTTCTTGAAGGAGATTCTACTTTGATATCGATTCCTTCAAAATTCTAGCAAAAGGCAAGAAAATGCTTAGTTCTGAAACAATCCGGATTTCTTAGAACCAGACTATTCCAAATGGACATTGTTGGCAATGTCCAGAAAGAACACAAATTTCTGAATCCTATGGTGCCAAAAGATTCAAAATCGGTCAAATTTGGCCGTAATAGCAACCAGAGACTTTAAATATTAAAAATTAGATCGATTTGTTTGAAAACAGCCGAGTTATAGCGGTGAATATAAAAGATTTCCTACCGCGTCTATCGAGAGACTCGTACAGCATAGCTCACCATTGGAAAAGAGAAATGAAAACAAAATACGCAGCATACTCCCGGTCATTCTGCAGCTTCAACTTTCAACATGCACGATAAGCGGGAGAATGAATGAATTGAAAAATCGGCTTCCACCGAGCTGCTGCAGCAAACAGCACACAAGCAATCGACAAAAGGCAGAACGACTGCGCCATTTTGCCAGTCAAACCAACGTGCTTGCTTTGCACATTGAATGCAGAAAACGTACGCGATCACGCAGTCACAGTCGATATGCGATCCCCTTTCAAGCCCTGGGCAGAACATGTTATTGTTTTTTAGTGAATGCAATTTACATTCACTGAAAAACAATGGTGGGTTCTTATTGCTCTGATTCATCATGCATAAGATACACAGATTTGAGTTGTTTACAAAAGATGTAGCTAATAACAAATCCTACAAAATCTTCAAACGCTATTTTACGGAATGGTGTTGATGAAAAAAGTTAGAGGCAAATGAATGTAAATGATTTTCCATCCCTTATTCAATACCCTCCTCTCCCACTATACGACTTTTGTAAATAATTTGCAACTACACCTCTTACTTAGTAAGACCTTACTTTAAATAATTCCCCTTCATTTATTTTCAACATCCTTGCTTAAGATATTGCTGAGGTACCCTTCACCTCAGAGGTAAGACAAGCCGCAATTACCTTCGTACTTTTGTCATGGCACAATGTGGTTCAATGCTTAGGGGTTCTTCAAAAGCTAAAAAGATTACATGGTCATTTAAGAATCTAGAGATGTAGCCAAACCACTAGTAAGTATGGGAAGGAGAGGCCATAGTGAAGAGTGCTTTAGCCATGCATTTCTGGTTCGAGAATTAATTGATCAATAATCGTTGCAATGGTGATATTGAAACTACTACCAATTAATTTATTCCGAACAATTCAAAGTTTGGAACTGGAGTGCGGGATGCTCATTATGTCCGTCTTACCCCTAAGACATAACGAACTAATTTCAGGGCTGGACATAAATTACGCATAAAGTTTAGAAGAGTGAAGGGCCACCAATCTGCAAAATTTCTAAACTTCAAACATTATTTTTTTTTTTTTTTTGTTTACTTAATGTTCAAATGCAATAAAGCTCAAGCAAAAACAAATCTTTATTCCGCGCATAAGATTTTCTATTGTAATTCAGTTTATATGCATGTCTAAATTCAAATAATTGTTCAAATATTTTAAACACACCTGCCCATAAAGGATGCGAACCATATTTTAAAAATAATCACTCTTTTGAAACGAAAACACTGTTTTGTTTGCATTTTTAGCATAACCACACTAGGCCACAGAAGCAAAATGACGTCTGTAAAGATGCGCATTTGCAATAATGTTTCTCTACAAAAAAAACGAAACACTTATCATTGTTTATATTTATGCAGCACTCATTTTGAAAACACAAACAAGAGTTTGATAGACACAAACCTTTCGTTTTGTCCTGAATGCGCGGAATTAGGCAGCGCGCAGAATTATGGCAGTTTACAGTATTATGGAATATTCTAAAATCCCTGCGAAGATTATCAGGCAGGAATTTGAAAAATTTTCCAGGAAAAATAAAGTTTCCTGAAGATTCCAGGTTTTTTTTTCATATAGTCCAATTGTACGAATTTTAAATTGCAATTCAAGGTGAATTAGGTTTCTATATTAAAAAGACTTTCACACTATCAGTCAGTGATGGAAAAGTTCGCGAAAACTCACTATGACTCGCGAACTTTTCCTTTGGTGAACTTCGTGAAATATCGCGAACTTTTCCAACACTGCTATCAGTCCTAAATTCCGGTCTTAAACAAAAAACATTGACACTTTTCCCTCTACAGAATCGATCTCATCAAATTTAACTCATCACCATATCGCACTATAAAAAAAAGTGTCAAATAAAATTATCACTAGATCTAGCTAACGATAGCAAAGGCGTGTTCCTTATCAGCTATAGCAATCATGAGAAGATTTCCAAAACGCCACGCATTTATCTAGCCCAGAATGTCAATCAAATTAGCACCCAAAATCCCCCCTTCGCTAACCTGTATTACGGTGTTCCCCGTGGCCATGATCGGGTACATGAGCAGCACTTGCCGTCTGGAAATGTCATCCGGAAACCTGGCGTACACTACCCGGGCTGCATGAGTCTCCGCGTCTGATTCCACCAGGATTTTCCCTATCCGAATCGATCGACAGCAATCTCGCAGTCCCTACAATCAGAAGCAAATAATAATCATGTGAATATTTTACGACGCTGCTCTCCTAACGAGTTAAACAAACAAACAACGTACACGGCCGATTACACCAATGCAAATTTGAGTTTCGTTTACTCAAATTCGCAAAACCGTAAGTTAGTCATAGACTGAGTAAAAATTTACTCGATTTCAAATAAGAGGAAAATCGAGAAACGTTCCACTCTCTCCTAGACTGAGTAAAATTTCCGTTGTTTTTCCTCTTACTGGAGCAGATTTTTGAAGAAAAGCGATTTTGCGACTTTGAGTCGATCTCATCGGCCGTGTATAGCGAATGATTGAATTGCTAGCAAACAAACCAAGAAACAACACAAACCTGCTCCATCGCTTCGCCGGAACGTATAATCGAGACGCCACAATTGCCGGACCGGTACTTGAGCCCATCGTAAATTGCCCCGGTTGGTGTCACGACGGAGCAATCCGAATAGGGCAGCTGATTTAGGCTCTCCTCGATCACCAGCCTTATTAGTCGATCGGCGTAGAACTTGAAATCACTTCTCGTCGTGTTTCTAAAATTAAATATCGAATCCAATACGATGTGGGTCAGATTTGCCGGTCGAACAAAAGAAAAGCGAAATGACGACGAGAGCGGATGCGATTGCAGCGGGAACCAACTTATTTTGTATACATCACCGTCGTGTCTGTCGGCTCAAGTCACACGACTTTGAATTGGAAGCGTGCAGGAAAGACTCTGCGGCACAAAGGGAGTTTTGTCGGTTTTGCGTAAGCCCTTAGATTGTCTATTTTTACTCACTTGTCCCTGATGATTGTTTGGAGTTCTCTGATCTGCGCGCTGCATTCGATGATCCTAAGATTTTGTCCATAATCGGCCGGATTGGTAGAGGCTGGTGTTGGGTCTGCTAGCTTGTTGTTCACCTCGCTGCACATTGTTCCTGTTTTTGTTGTTGCTTATTCTACTGCAGTCTATGACGATCGACGACGTTGGCGTAATTAAATACTATCGTTGTTTTCTTTGCAGCCAGGTGTGAATCACGATTGCAGCACAAAGACACACACGATGGACCGAACGAAAGGCCGCAACGGAATTAATGCTTCTTCCTGTTGAGCTTGTGACTGTGTCGTGCGTGCGTGCGTGGAGGAAAAGCTATGCCGAATCGTGTGGTAAGATTTCTAGTAGTGCTGTCGAAATTGCACAACTCTGTTCTATGGAAAAACGTGCGCGTCACACTGCTGAAACCGGTAATTTTGAACACTACGCCACACTGATATCTTTTAACTATTTATTTCAACTTTTTGCAACTCTTAATACTTTTACTTTGTTAGTGAGGAAAACTTTTTTCTTAAACGACGTGAACACATTCAGCAGACACTCTTTTCTTGGATGACACAAAAACATGCACCGCACAGCCAAGCAAGCGAGAGACGAGTGCACGCTCTTCACGGACACGAACGATTCGATAAAAAAAAACAGCTGACGTTTCGGATGAAGACGAGCTGTCAGCTGCTCGCCGGGGGAATGGTCGGTTGCTTTCGGTATCCATCAGTGCATAGGAGATGTGAACCTGTATAAAAAAAACAGGGGCACCTACGATAAGGGTCCGATAAAATATTACGTAGCATAGAAATTGGGTTCCTTAAGGGTATAGAGTTCTCCAGATGCACAAAAGTGTGCGTGAGACCGCGCGCTACCTTTTTAAGTAGTTGTGATATCGCGATACCTTTTTGTTTCTTCTTCTTCTTTATTTTTATGTATGGATGTTGGATTTTAGTGTTCGTGAGATTGCGCTTGGAGATCTCTATAGAGCTTTTTGACGTTTAATCGGCGCACACTACTGCACCATTTCAGGCATAACATTTGATAACGGCACAAAAGCATGTGTAAACAAACTTTCTAAGGCCCTTTACACGCGAACCAAAGTACGCCCACGCAAACCAATACCACTTTCGGAAAGGTGATAATTGCCCCCATCCGATGATGTTGTTGGTTTGCGTGGGCGTACTTTGGTTCACGAGTAAAGGGCCTTAGAAAGTTTGTTTACAAATGTTCTTGTGCCGTTATATTCTAAAGCCTCCTGAATAAAGCTAAATAATAATAATTGTGCCGTTATCAAATGTTATGCCTGATTTAAATCGAACGAGTGCGAGCAAGAGGGAAACAGATTAGTGGGAAAACAAACCATGCATTCATCCATGTGTGCTAGATAGAGAAAGACGATTAAACGCCAAAAAGGTCTATTGAGGTAAATGCATGTTCGTAATTGCAAACTTAACCATAATGGAGTAGTAACTACAACGCGCACGGACAAAAAAAAGTTCAGATTCCCTAACACAGACATCAGATTTCAGGTGTTAAGACTCATTGGCATGTCTCATGATTCGAGTTTTTGAAACCCGTTGAATATGGTTCTGTTTTAAGTTTGCTCTCTGTTTTGTGCGTGCGTTCGCTTTGATTGTTTTCGGTTGCATTTAGCTGATTAGCGTTGGCACTCTGTCTCCCGGGCGGTTATCCGTATGTGATTGTGGTGGTTTTCTCGCTTTCTGGAAAGTTTTCGAATCAAGAAGGAAACGTGATTCATCGTGTTTGCTAGAATCAGAAGAGATGTCGCTATCTGCAAACTTGTTTTATTTTCTTCGCGTGTGCTCCCGGACCAGAAATGTGTGGCATAGTGAAGCGATCGATGCCTGCGCCGGAGGTGTTGGGTTTTCTAATCGTTCTATGATGGTGTTGGTGATCAGATGTACTCCAAACACTGAAGGGTCTGCGCTTTCTGTTGTGAATCCTGCGGTTTGCTTCCAATACAGTAACGCAGGCGAAAGAGTGATGAATGGTCTTAATGCTTCGGTGTGAAAAGAAAACGCTTGCTGGAGAGTATTGGCAAGGATGATGCATGAAACAGCTTCGAAAACATGGAAAGACAGGCTTATTTTGGTGAGATAATTTTGGTGAGATCTTTCTTTTTGTATTAATTTAAATTTGTTTACATTTTCACATATCATTACTTTATATCGCCGAATAGAGATTCCTAAAATATATTCCATTTTCTACTAACACAAATGTTCCCTCCCGTGGCATCTATGAAGGTAGTATGGGTTCCCTGCACCTTCTTAAGTAGATGTTGAACTAATTTTCCTTCCTATCCCTTGCGATTGTAAGGATGTGGCCAGGTGTATAATGAGATGCTTGATTTCTAGATTTTAATGTGTGGGAAAAACCACTAGTCCCAAGTGTTCTGTAAAAATTGTGACGAGTATACTGTAAAAATAATCTTTTACAAAATCAAACAGCAATAAAGTACCGAATTCTGTAAAAGTTACTGAACAGATTTTCGTACTGTCAAACTCAATATTGGCTGCCATTTCGATGTTGAGTGTCCTTCGGTTCTACGTTGTGAAGCGTAAGTACTTAACTTTTCGCTAGTTCTGTGCAATTTATGCCGAAAATATAATTAGTTTTTCATTTCTGGGCCAATTTCTTTCAGACGCCATGGACGTTATGCAACTCAATGTCCTCCTCTACTGCAGAAACTGCATTTTAGAACGGTTTGCTACTTAGTTGATAACCTCGTCCGGGTTCTTTACTCATTTTTTTTTTAAATTTTCTGTACAAACGCAAGATGAAAATGTATCTTCAAAAAAAATATATATGGTTAAAAGGAATGAATCTTTTGGTTTGGTGAAAGAAAGAAACAGTTAATCAATCAATAAAAATTACAATATTTATTATTTCAAGCATAATTTTTCAAAAGGACGTATGTAACATTTGACATCAAATGAGAAAAATGGGGTAGCAATATTCAGACTATATTATTAAACTCTATTCAAAAGTTTTTGTTATTTTTCACGATCTGTTGCTGCCAAATGTTACATACAGGATTGTAGTTTATGATTATTATGAAAAATGCTGGGGTTTTGCATACATTAGCAACAATTTTGATAAAATTAAAAGATACACCCTTTTGGTTCTGAACTTCCCACATACACCTTGATTGATTCGTCGTTATAGTACCTTGGTTGTTATATACACCTTGTGAGATGCGTCGATTTGACAGATCGTTTTACACTTGCGTCAGATACACCAGTTTTTATTTGGAAGCAGAAATACGTCGGTCTGCTAACTCTCACAAAGAAATTCGTCATTTTGAGGAACGGAGAAGGAGATCCTTAGTCAGGAGCAGGTTATCTGGAACAAGAGTATAACTGAGGATTAAAATAACGGGATCCAGTATCAGGTAGTGAGTTGTTCGACTTATACAAAGAAGTCCCGGACAAGACAATTTTCCTGTCACCTCAGAAAGTCCTGTCAGAAACAAACATGCAGAGCAGAAATGGGTTTCCTGCCGCTGCTGGAAGCGGAACAGCGAGCGCTGCTGTACGTGGAATCGAAGCTGTTTGAGACGGCAGCCAGGAAGACAACGACCGGCGAGACGAAAGATTTTTTTTGTATGAACGTTTCGATTCGTTCGAAAACGAGACTAGGGGTGATCATCTTGGCGTGCGCACCGGTTCGAATTATACCTTTCAGGTTAGTCTTATGGAAATTATGCTGAACCACCATGGTCATGATGATGACAATTATCATAGTTGAAATATTATCTGTTTCATTGGAAGGAAAATGCACCGAAATCGTCACCATAGGAATTACTATCACGACGGGTTGGGCGCGTTTGGCGTTCAATGAAATGGATGATGTTGAATAGATTTAAACTGCTAACGGAAATTTTCTCCGCAGGAAAAGTCAACCAACGAGAAGCATCATTGTTTATGTTCAGATCCTGTTCTGGGGGCATTTCATTTGCCGGCGAGTTTAGCGAAACGGTTTCAACTTCTTCGTAGTACTCGACGCTGGGAAATTGGGCCATAAACGCCGAAGAAACAGCAAACTGTTGTGACCCTGGTTGTGGATCGTCAAGCTGAGTGGCTGCGTCTAAAAAAAATATTTTCAACTACGTTTTTATTATGAATATTGACAAAAACATACCTAGCAGCAGCTGTATTGCATCAAAATCCATTTTGAATTTATTCGGAAGCAGCACGACGCAACTGCTGTTTCAAATTTTTGATTTTCATTTGCACACGAGACGTTTCACTGTTAGCGTATCTGTGGTTTGCGTTTTATTTTCAATTTTTGACAGTTGCGTCATATTGACGGCAATAGGGTGTATCTAAACCTTTTTCAAAACATTGAAAGAAGAACACATAGGGCGGTAATTGAATTTATTTTTTCTTCGATGATTAAGTTTTTAAACTTTGTTTCGCAATTACTAAAGAGTAAAGCATAAAATTTACAACCGGATAGAGGGAAAAACTCGATTTGTTTATTTTTGCGACTTACGTCCTTTTGAAAAGTTATGCTTGATTTATTCTGAAAATAAAGTACAGTCGATTCGGTTAAAAATTATACTGAACGCAATGGTAAACTTTACCGATCTTCCAGTAAAATTTACAGTCCAGGTCAGTAAATTATGACAGGCCACAAGCGAAGAAAATTTAAAGAACGGATTGTAAATTAAAAAATTACCGAATGGATTACCTAATGTTCACCTGTTCTATATTCGGTAAAAAATTACAGTACACTGTAAAAAAAATCTTAGTGTGTATATGCCCTATTGGATTTTTGCACCATGACAATGAGCTTTTCAAGAGGTGATTTTGACAGTTGTTCAATTTTTATTTTAAAAGTATGAACTTTTAAAACTACATGTCGATAATGAAAGAAAAACCACAGACAAACAGACATAACACTCGCAAGTTGTTCATCGAACAAGCATTTAACGGTCAATTTAAAAGTATCATAGTTGGTAGTACCGCCACCTGTGGCGCGCATAGTCAATTCCCTTGCGTTTGACGTTTGCACACTACCGCCAGCTGTTCAGCGTACTACCCATCACAGTGTACTCAACAGATGGCGGTAATGTTTTAGCGACGAAGTATTATAGTGAGAAATATTCAATGTGTTATGTCTGTTTGTCTGTGGAAAAACCTTCAAAACAAAGAAAAACAAATAATTTTGAAAATATTCGTAGTTGAAACTACCAAATTCGAGAAACTTTGAATTTGAAATGTAAAACATTTTAAAGATACAATTTTTGTTTTTTGTGTGTACGAATAAAACTAAATTGCACTTTTTCACAATTGAAAACAAACTCGCGCAGTCACGGTGTTGTCTGTTCGCCACCATTTACTAACTGATTGAGCTGGATGAATAGCCGAAAGATGATGACAAACCTGAAATAGAATGATTTTCATAAAGGGGCTATGATGAAATATACAAGGAAATATATTCATTTTGGTTCACGATGAAAAACAAACTTTTATGTGCCTATTAAAATGTGACTGATTATCGGACGACATGAAAAAAAAATATGAAAAGTAAACAAAAATCACTTATTGTTGATCACAAAATCATTCGACGTGTTTTTCATGCAATCTCAGGAATCATTAGTTTTGCTTGACGCTGAATGAGAATCCATTCAACGGTCGGTGGAGGTTTTGGTTCAGTGATAGTGACAAAGCTGTATCACCATGTATTTATATACTCACCATGAGTGTAACCTCATGCACGGCTAACATCCCATATTTCAATCGGAATGGAAAACGTCAAACCAAAGCTGGGGTTACAAGCAAATCTGTCATAACAAACGTGGCTCGCACATTTCCAAAACATCTCTTTTCGTGCACCGAATCGCGAGCATGCACGGTGTTTGTGAGTGCAACTGAAGTTGAAAAATCGAATTTGCTGGCCGAAAAACAATTTCATTTCGACTGTAGCAAAAGGATATCAACCAGTGGTATTGGATAGTTGTGTTTTACGTTGAAAATTTTGGCCGTCCATCATGGTCAAGCGAAATCACAAGGTAGGAAAGTTCCTGCGCTGCAGCTGGCATTTGTTAGGTTATGTTTACTTACCAGCGGTTTTTATTTTTTACGTTTCTAGTACCAATCCGGCGAGGGCGCCCAGTACATGACCCGGAAGACAGCGATGCGGAAGCTTCAGCTTTCGATGCAGGACTTCCGCAGGCTGTGCATTCTAAAGGGGATCTATCCACGAGAACCGAAGCACCGAGTGATTGCCCAGCGTGGTAGTACGGATATCAAGATCCTGTACCACAAGAAGGACATAACGTTCCTGCTGCACGAACCGATCGTTTGGACGTTGCGAGATCGAAAGATTTTCAACAGGAGAATCGCTCATGCTCGTGCCAAGGGAAATAATCTGCTGAAGAATGTCCGGATGGCAAACTATCCGGAAATCAAGCTGGATCACATCATCAAGGAACGGTTTCCGACGTTTGTCGATGCGATAAAGGAACTGGACGATTGTATGACGTTGTTGTTCTTGTTCAGTACCTTTCCGGCAATGAAGGTCATCACGAGAGATGTTACTTCGTTGGCGAGAAGGTTGACGATCGAATTCATGCACTACGTGATAGCGTCCAAGTCCCTGAGGAAGGTGTTCGTTTCGATCAAGGGATATTACTTCCAAGCGGATATTAAAGGGGAATTGATTACCTGGATTGTGCCCCATTACTACCCGTTCCAACCGCAGAGGAAGGAGTACGTGGATTTCAAGATTATGAAATCGTTTGCCGATTTCTTCACAGTAATGGCCGGTTTTGTCAACTACCGATTGTACAATTCGATCAATATGGTGTATCCGCCTCAGTTTTCCGTTTCCATCGATTCCAACGAGAGTAGAACCAACGAGGATACGTTCGTTTCGGAGCGTATTGCTGCGTTGAATATGGATTTGTTGAGATCGGATCACCAAGGAGCGGAGGCAGAAGATGAGGAAATCGATTTGAAACTGTTGGACAACGACAAGGACTCGGAACAGGTCCGCAAGATGCATGAGGAAGCAATGAGCTTGAACAAGTTGAAGAATCTGTTCAAGGGGTTAAAGTTCTTTATCAATCGGGAAGTTCCGAGGGAACCTCTAGTGTTCATCATTCGCTGCTTCGGAGGAAAGGTGTCCTGGGACAAGCATCTCTTTGTCGGTGCAACCTTCGACGAGACGGATGAGTCCATCACACATCAGATTGTGGATCGTCCAAGTTTGAATAATCAGTACATTTCCCGGGATTACGTCCAGCCCCAGTGGATCTTCGACACCGTCAATCAGAGAAAGCTCCTTCCGACGAATAAGTACTTCATCGGTGCTGTCTTGCCTCCACATTTGTCACCATTCAACCGGGACGATGCGGTCTACGTTCCTCCTGAGGAAGCCGCTATGCAGACCGGAAATGAATTCGAGAAGCAGAACCGCGCTGAAGGAATCTCCGACGACGAAGACGAAGATTTCGGCATGGAGGAAGCTCGCCAACAGGTCCAGTTGGATTATGCCTTGGTGAAGGCGTTCAAGGAGGAGAAGGCGGAAGCATTGAGCAGCGGAAAACCGGAAGATCAAGCCGATGAAGAAGAAGAAGATTATGATGATGGCGACGACGAAGACAAACAACAAAAATCCCAGGTTAAGGAGAAGAAGAAGAAGATGGCAGTCGTCAGCGGTCAGATTTACAAGGAAAATCCCAAGGAGCAAAAACAACTGACCAAGCAAGAGGAAGGCCTGCGAGCGAAAATGGTAAAATCCAGACACAAGAAGTTGTACCGAAACCTGCTGGACAAACAGAAGAAGGCCACCAAGGAAGCGAACCTGCTGAGGGAGAAACGACAACACATCGACAAACAGAAACGGCAGGAGCAGACGCAGAAGAGAAAAGCGCAGCGAAAGGAGATTTTGGCTTAGGTGGCATAACCGTTTGTTAGATGATAAGATTCAGAGTATGTATTCAGTTCTTGTGAATAAATTAATATTACATAAAAAAACACAAGCGAATGCTTGTACGATGCCTATTCTGGAAAGAACGACCCTATTCTATTAGTCAAAATAGGACACGGAAAAATGAAGACGTCAACCTGTTTACGAGCATACCCTTAAACACCCATGCAATGGGTATCCAATTTGAATTCAGCTCGCCATCCAGCGATTGATGCAATTATTCAAATTTGTTATTATAATGTCATACCTACCTCATACCTATTTATATACCGAGAAAATGGAGAATTCGTTTGTATATGATGAGCGAATGAGGAGTGAGTAAGCGCTCGGCGGCGGCGCTCTCAAGTAGTTAATCAGGCCTATTCTGCGAGTCACCCTAGGGAGGTGACAAAATTAACCATTCCATTTGCACGGAGAGTCACTTCACACGGGAATGAAAGAGAGTCACACTACTCGCAGAATAGGCCTTAATATATGCGATGCGACACGCGCTTTAAATCGTTGTTTCCTTCCGTTTGCCCTACAGTGTGGAAAACGAAAAACTGGTTCTACTGTTAGGTACTTACAACAGCTATGATTGGTAATGAACAGGGAAATAACTGGGAATTAACCGCGAATCGAAAACCACCGAGAATTTGATTGGAGCATTTTAATTTATTTTTTATGCCCATTATATCCTTTATAAAGCAGAGGAAACCAAGCACGGATTCAACTCTTACTACAATTAAAGTTAAAAATTTTGTCTGTATAAAAAGAGAGAAGGATTAGTAATTTCCATTGCCCCGTAACGTGGGTAGATCACCTTTTCGTGGTACGTTACGGGATGTAAGATCTACCACCGATTCCTAGTCTTGACTAATTCAAACTAGGGGAACAGGATTTTTCAGTAATCAAAGGAACACATCTTAGTCCTTGTTACTTTTTATGCCTTGTTAATAATGACAAGACTCGGCTTTGCCTACCGAGGATGACCTTGAAACAAGGCAAAAATTTTACAATTTTACAAATTTTAGTACAACAGTGAACTTTGTATGTCTGTACAAGGTATTAGCAACAGTGATGAAGTAATACCAACAATCAATACGAAACTAACGATTTTAAATTGGCTCACCACTTTAGTAGCCTATTGGTCCCAAGCAAACGATTAACGTACCCTATTCTAGTTGAAATTCTATTACTGCACTATGTTTGTTTTGATTCGCTATGAAAGTTTGACAGATAACATCAGGGGTGTGTGGATTAATGCAGAACATGCAGGGGTGAGTGAAATAGCTTGGGACTGCTTGGGACCGTTGTTCTGGTACTGAGTGAGCCAAAAATAATAATGATTTTCTTCGGGACCCAGTGGTCTTAGAGTTACCTCTATGGTAATACCATAGAGGTAACTCTAAGACCACTGGGTCCCGAAGAAAATCATTATTATTTTTGGTAATACCATAGAGGTAACTCTAAGACCACTGGGTCCCGAAGAAAATCATTATTATTTTTGGCTCACTCAGTACCAGAACAACGGTCCCAAGCAGTCCCAAGCTATTTCACTCACCCCTGCATGTTCTGCATGAATCCACACACCCCTGATGTTATCTGTCAAACTTTCATAGCGAATCAAAACAAAAATAGTGTAGTAATAGAATTTCAACTAGAATAGGGTACGTTAATCGTTTGCTTGGGACCAATAGGCTACTAAAGTGGTGAGCCAATTTAAAATCGTTAGTTTCGTATTGATTGTTGATAATAGCAAACCAGGACAGACTAGAGTCGGTGTATAATTTGTCACGCCTAGAGAAAAACAGTTGCACTCGCATCACGGTTTTCGAAAGATTCCCTTTCTTTTAACTTGGCAACAGAGGACTTCTGCATTAACTTCAAATGACTAATCCTGAAGAATATGGGCGTCTTAGTGGAATACATGTATAATGAGAGAGAGAAGGATTAGTAATTTCCATTTAATTCCACTACCTTATTTGCTTATCCTTGACAGATACGCGTATTTCGTCTACAATGTGCAGACTTCTTCAGTGTCTTGTACTAATACTCGACTGAAGAAAAACATCGCATTTACCGAATATATATTAACCCTGGTACATTTTCACTTAGAAACTAGGTAAACTTAAATTTAATTTCCTGTTGGAACAGGTACTCCGCTGTTTACTCGTTGATGTGTCCTACCCAACCAACCATTTCGTTAATTTTCTTTAATTTTCTATACATCGATCTTCAAAGCCATTCATAAGAAAAATCGATAGCGATCGTCACCATTTCATGAATAATTGTAAAGATGCTTAAAGTCTAATCGTGAATCGTTTATAAAGATCTTTCTCAAAATATTGCTACCAATCGTTACTAATGTTAAAATATCGATTGTGTTGCCAGATCAAAATATCGATTTCTGTTGTAAAATCAAAATATCGGATACACAACTGCTGATTTTATTTGTAATTTTTTTTATCTGCATAATTTCTAGTTCTGATCCCATGCCATCTGGGGTGTACTGATTTCGTTGTTGGTTGCTAATCCTCGGGTCCATGGCTGCTGTTGATGAGCTTATCAACGACAGGCAAACACACTCTAGTATGTGGTGTATTGAAATTTCTGTATATTTTTCATACATGAATTCAATATTTATATAAATTTATTTGTCATATCCATCAACCAGTCAGCCATGTAGGTGTAATAGAAAGGTAAAGGTACACAGAAAAAAAAGTTGTTGAATATTACATCCAAACTGCTGCAACCAGGTCAATCCATCGGTTGTGTAATATAACGTTGTACGATGTACATCGATTTTGCGAACAAAATTACATCCATTGATGTAATATTGTATCTGCTTTTTGCTATTACAACATTGTTTCATACATCAGCTTGAATTACATTGATCGATATTACATTTTTTTTGCTGTGTATCAATTGTCCTCATTGGGTTCCAAATGCCGAGAATCCCACCACGGGTTATTAAATATATAAGCCTAGTATACAGATCGACGCGAAACGAAAATTGAAGCATGAAATTTCGCTAGCGAAAAAGGTTGTGAAAAAATGTTTGTGGAACATTTTCCAGTTTCCTTATTTCGCAGCAACGAAATCGATCAGTTCTGTATAAAGAACTTTGAAGAAGTTTCACGAACGGTTGGTCGGGTTGGTAGTAACTTGAAAGCCATGTGTGTCCGTTTCCTTGATCCCTAGGATGGGCCCAATCTAAGATCCATAGGCTAACATTAGAGCCATTTCCCCTAGTTTGTTGATTTGTTTTTTTTTTCGTACACACTATTTTTATTTCGCTGGAAACAAGCAGAATTTAGCTGGATTTTGCCGAGCTGGAAAACCAGCAATCCATCCAGCAACGCCAATTTTGCTGACAATCCAGCAATTGGTTTTTTACAAGAGTTCACTGAAAATCCAGCAGTTTTTATCTAAGAAGATCCGCTAAATTTTGCTTAAAATTCAGCGTTGATCAAACAGATTTGTTTTCAGGAATTTTCCTTGTATTTGGATAGTCAAATTATAAAAAAATGAGTAAAACTCTATCTAAATTAACTCTATTTTTCGCTTTTATTGTTAAATCAATTCAATTCACGACATATAAGAACATGTAGACAGCTCCATTAGCTTTGCCTTGTTTACAAATCTTCCAGGAACGTCTTGGCGTACACACCATTTTTAAATTGCTGAAAATCAGCAAATTTTTGCTGATGTTGGACTTGATGAAATATCAGCAATCTATCCAGCAAAATAAAGATGCTGAAACTTTCAGCAATTCAAACTTCTGTCAAAATGAAACCATTTTACTAAATCTTAAGTAAATCTGTTATTTTCTGCTGAAGCTGAAGTAAAGGTTTTTATGACAGCACTTTGCTGGTTGTCCAGCAATATTTTTATTTTCCACTTTTGCTGAATTATCAATAATATTTTATTCATTTGTTTTTGTTTTGATAAATTGGGAAATTAATGCAATTCCTACACTGTATTTAATGCATGATTCATTCAAAGATTTTTTAAATCACAGTATACAGTTGATTTGTATAGATACTATAGATCCATAGATAAGCAGAGGCACAAAAAGTTGTTTTGGCAACCATGAAAAATAAATTATCTTACTGGAATCCGTGAAAAAAGTTCATGCCATCATAAAGCTCTTCGTTGAGCAGTTTTGTTTTGTTTCGTGCGTAAAAGCTCAAAATGAAGTGCAAAGTAAATCTTTGCAACAATGAGTCGAGGAATGGTTTGCTTTATCTTTCATTCTTCCGTTGTCCGCGAAATAAATCGGAATGTGGAGTGTAGAAAGTGTTTTGTGCTCATAATATTACAATACTTCTCCCTCAAACAACACCATGATGACGTCATGCTCGTTTGGCTACACTAACTGACAGTTCGTTTGACTACATTATACTTTGCCTCCGCGCTTATCTATGGAATCTATAGTATCTATTTTGATTTGGTAACATCGTTTCACTGCAGCACCACAATCCCATTTATTATCGAATGATTTGAGGTATTCAGTGAGAACATCTAGGATGGTTAAATGGAAAATGTTGCTTAATTGATAAAATGATAAATTTGATTAACTTCCTTAATGATTTCTGGTCAATTCGAATGATGGCACGATGAATCAGATAAAAACAGCACTTTCAATCAAGAACATTAAACGCGGGAGTGTGATTCTCCAAAACGTCAAAAATAGATAACTCTTTTGACAGATCATGTTGTTAGCTAAGCATCCAGCAGCATTTTCTCGATTGCTGTATTATTCAGTATAAAGTGCTTTTGCTGCTGCAGTTAAGCAATCCATTTTGCTGAAACTTGATTCACATTTTTGGTGCGTACGAAAGAGAAACTATTCTCCAACATCACAAACACTGAATACCGAGGGGGGCAACACATCTAAATCTCAATTCTAGATGCTCAAAAAATCTCACACTAGCGAATCAATCTTCGAAAAATCATATTTCATTTCTCGCATCTACTTGCATCGTGCTTCATCTTTTTGCAAGAAATCTTCAAAATCGACATAAATCTTCTTTCTATCTACTCAGCGTG